AGCCATGCATGGCTGGCTGGGGAATTCTGGGAGTTGAAGTCCACTCATCTTAAAGTGGCCAAGTTTGGACAACACTGGCCTATAGTATGTCCATATGAGCCTGCCCACCCTTTTGAAGATCAGCACTGGATTCTGATCCTTAGCTGATCTTCATAGGAGAGTCCTTGGTGTTCTCTGAGCTTGGTTGTTTTCTTGCAGACCTTTCATTACCTGACTAGGTAATATCTTCAGTGCTAGAAGGGAGTGGGGTTTGCTTTCTGTTTATATAGAGTAGCTTGCCCTGCCAGTGTTGGTGAGGGTGTTGAGTTGGTGGAACTACCAACTCAGACAAACAATCAAGCAGTAAACAACAGCCTAATCAAGGAACTACCAAGGAGAAAACACCCCCACTAACCCTGACAGGACAAGCTACTGTATATAAACAGAGCAAGCCCCACCCCCTTCTAGCACAGATGTTGCCTAGCCAGGTAATGAAACATCTGCAAGAAAACAACCAAGCTCAGAAAACACCAAGGACTCCACAGTTCAATCCTGAGCTACATATATTCTCTTCTATTAATCTTTATAATTTAGCAATACAGACATTTTCTTTTTTGTAGGGGCTCTGTTTGCATAGACAGACACTCTCCCAAGGGATGTAAGATAGGACTTCTTTTTTTAAATTAAAGATTTTTTGTATGCTTTGAGTAGGTGTTGTCTAGAAAGGTAGCGTTCAAATATTTTAAATTAATTAGTGCATCATTGATAATAACAATCCTTTGTTCAAGCCAATCTCTTGTTTTCTCTTGTTTGTTTTGGAAGGTATGCAAGATATTACAGAGAAAATGGGAGAGACCTGAGGATTCTCTACAAGGTGTTTGGGATCCGATTTGATATTTTGGTGAATGGAAAGGTAGTGCTTGTTTTTGTAAAATAACCCTTTCCATTGTCTTAGTCCCCTGGCTTATCTCTAATAGAACTGTCCTTCTCACAGAGATCATGTTGTTTTGTAATCTCAGATTACTTCGTCTATGTATCATGAGCTGTGTCAGATCTTTAACTAACCTATCTAGCTAAGTAGGCTACCTTTCCTCAAGAAGTTCAAGGTGCATAAACAGTCCCTCCCTGTCCTGTTTTATCATAACCGCAAACTGTAAGGAAGCCAGGCCAAGAGAAAGTGATTGACTCTACGTCACTTGGTAGTTTATGACTAAAGAAATATCAAGAACAATTGCTACTTTTGGTGCTTATTAATCAATCAAAGCTCACTTGAGGTCTTTAACTAGTGACAGCCCTAGTATTCCCTTCTTGTTTCCCCAATGTCTGAACTTTCTTTTTGCTCTGTTTATCCAGGCAGGAAAATTTGATATTATTCCAACAATGACTACTATAGGTTCTGGGATTGGTATCTTTGGAGTGGTAAGTGCCTGCATTTTGTCTGTTTCTATGTTTTCTGCAAAAGCAGGAAATAGTGCCTTTCAAGGATTGCATCACCTGAGGCTGTAAGTCTGAACTTACATAAGGACTTTTGCTAGATCCAGCACCTAACAGCATGCAGTCCGATATTGCTTCTGTTTGAAACTGATCAGAACTCTCTGTTCTTTTCCAAAGTTTGGATGTTTTAATTTGATGGTCAACAACATCATCTGCCCCCAAGTAACTAGCTGCCTCCCTCAGAAATTGTTGAAATCTTAAGATTTTACTGATAGTTGATAAGATCCCTAAAATCTTTGGAAATCTCATAGAAGTCTTGCTAGAAACTTTAGAGTGCAGCACCTGTGGTAGTTATATATGTACCTAAGTTTGCCCATGTAACACTGCTACTATGGAAACTGCATTGCCTGCTAATTACCTTCTGAGTGCAGTTCAAGGTGTGCTGGTCACTTTAAAGCCCTATGTAGCTTTAAGGTGACCAGCACACCTTTGAAGAACAGCTTTAAAACCTATGTATCTCCAAGATGGCCTGCTCTGAGTGGAATCTGCCCATTGGTTAAATGCCTTATTGTGGGTCCTACTGCCAAAGAGAGCCCTCTTGGTGATGGTCTCTGCCCTCTGGAACAACCTCCCCTTGCATATGGACTGCCCGTCTCTACTAAGTTTTTGAAGATTTTTATTTATTTATTTGTATTTATATTTCAAATTTAGATACTGCCCATCTCACAAAAAGTGACTCTGGGCGGTTCACA